ACTGGCTGAATTTCTTTATTCATTCTGAACGTTTGGAATAATCTTTTTTGTTTACTTATTCTTTAGAACGTTCCTGATGATATGTTAACGTATATTTCAAACACATTCTGTTTATTCTGGCTGTGAAATGAGATTATCCGGAATGTATAAAGAAACGTAGCCAATGTATTAAGAAGTATTTTGTTCAATTACAATTAAATCTCTTAATAATTGCTGCAATACTTCGTTATTATTACAATGGAAAATATAATCCATCGTAGTCCGTTTTTCCTGAATTGCTGCATCGTGGCTATTCGGATTCAGTGATGGCATTTTCGTAGATTTCGCCGAAAATCGGACTATGATGGATTCTGTGATAGCCCTGATTATGTTCCCTGCGTTCTGAAATGCATCAAGCCAAAGCGGCAGTATCTTTTATTTGGCTGAGTTCCAATGCAAAGCATCAGCCTCTTATTTCTAACCCTGCAAAAATCGCGACTACTCCATGCATGCATGTCAAGAGTACTCCCTAAGGACCAACGAGTACTCCAAAATTAACCACAATTCATATAAAAAATATGGTCCAATTAACATTGCGATGTCCTACGGCAGGACCATATACTCCATCTCTGCATTACATCAGAGTAGCACAAAACTACTCCAACATATTAACAATGGCATTGTTGTTATATTTTTTCGTTTGTACACGCTTTTGTTCTTCACTTCACAGATGCTTTTTCGCAACTAATAAAAACCAAAAACAAAAATAAAAAATTACATGTTGCCTCTGACGGCATTCGAACCCAAACATGCTGGGAGCAAACAAATAACAGCCAGCATCTCTACACGTTCAGCTACAGCCAGACATGCAAATGTGCTTTCAAATGATCAACTTCAATCACATTTCGTTAAAACACGAGCAGTGATCGCGTAACAATAAGCTGGTGCAGAGACACGAGTTGGTCCGCTACAGCATGACAGAGGAACACTTTTGTAAGTACTCCAATATACCAAAAATAGATTACATGGTCCAACGATTTTTGCAGGGAAACTATAGGTTTGTTCGTCGAAAATCCAGCAAGAATTCGGTTGCATTTCAAACATAAAAAATGTTTATAGAATTTTTAAAATTCTTTCGGATGGCCAAAAACAGGATATACATGTATATTTCTTGTTGCTCTGACTTTCTTTAACATACATTTCAATTTCTTCATCGTACTAGCTGTCGGGTTTATTAAATCGACTCTGGTTGAAATTGCATTCCGATTGCGAATACCATTTTTTTTCAGCCGAATTAAGTTCAAATCAATGGAATTAACTAAATTAATTATATCAACAATTATTTACTTCCTTTTTTCATAAATTTTTTATAAATTTTTATATTTAACGAACTAATTTATTCAAATTATTGTAGACAAAAATGCAACCATGCACAACAACCACATGTATTTCGTGTTTGCAAATTCTTGCTGGCAAATTTTTTGCTCGACGAACAAACCTTATAACTTATGAAATGTGCAAATACGCAACTACGTTCAAATGCCAAAGTGCAGCTAATCGCGCAAATAAGGCATTTCCATCAATTATAGTTTGGAAATAAAAGATTCTGATGCTTGGCTTGATGCATTTCTGAACACAGCCTACGATGTAATATTAGAAAAGCAAGAAAAGTACAACGAAGGAGTACAAACTGCACAAGTCTGTGTAAACCATAAAGATAAACCATTTTATTTATAAGTAATTTTAAGTTTTTAGTAATTTCTCCATGTACATACATATCTTCATTTATTTTACAATTATTATCAGGCCGATTCTGAACAGGGAGTTTTCTCTCTTTTCCCTTTCCTCCTTTCATGAATAAAAATTCCCTAAGGATTTTTTATATTAAATGGCGGACTTGAGCTCTCAAAAAAGGGTCAAACAGCCTTTTCGGAGTTCGATTCTCCTCCTCCCAAGTTTTCGGGTAAAATGCTACTCCTGGGAGTTAATCATTGGGGGATTTATTTCTTGTCAGAAACTAATTCCCGGAGAACAAACTCCCCGGGAGTATTAAGAATTGGCCTGAAAATAAAAATATTTTTTAATATTTAATACAAAAATTTTCCTGGCAAAATAACGTATTGCCACCCTGAAAGGTATCATAACCATCGCCTTACCAGGGCTGCCAGCTTCCTCAGACCGTGCCATTTTTGGCTCTATTTTACATCAAATGGCACTTAATTATTCAATTTGGCACTTGGGGCCTGTGCCAATTGATAGAAAAGTTCTATGGTGGAAAAACTTTTTACTATGGTGAGAAAATTTTACATTTCTGCTGTGCCAATTCGTAACTTTTTACTGCTGGAAATTTTTGACAGTTGCTTTGATGCACAAGAAGACTATCGAGTTTGCAATTTATAAAATGCAGCAATTATATAGAAAATATTTGCCTTTGATGATTTCAATTCTTCTGGAACTGAAATCCATGCATTTATTAGACCTTTTAGCAGTAATATTAGAAATAAAAACACGTCAAAACCGTCTGGTAAGTGTGTTCACAAAAATGATTAAAACCGTGTACAATTGTTTCCAATAAAAACATATGTCGTTTTAGGGTATTATGTACATGCAACAAGACGTTTATTCCAAAATACTAAGTGCTTATTTACACACGGCGATTTTTGTTGCCGCAACTCGACGTTTGTAGGAGAGAGCGTGACGAGGAAAGGAGAGGGGCACCGAGTTGCCCGTGCTCGGGCAACACGCTTTGTGCTCTCGTTCGTCTGTGTAAATTGAACCGCTGTTCACAGCTGACAACAACAATTGCATACACACAAATCGCCGTGTGTAAATGAAACGAGCAACACCAAAAGGGAATGTGAAAAATTGCGGCGACAAAAGTTTTCGTGTATAAACGCAGTCTAAGCAGCATTATGAACGGCGATAACAAGACTACAAAATTGCATCTTAGGTTGTCCTCGGCTTTTCCTTTTCTTTTTTTTTTCTTCCTTTCTTTTATTTCCACTCGCTTTTGTTTTCTTTAATTTATGTGTATACGTGCGTTGTTCGTTCTTCTTCTTGATAATGCTTGCTGTCAAATTTTTCACTAGCCCTACCGTATCAAACATTTTTATTCACCTCATAGCTGTCAAAAATTTACTATCCAGAGAACTTTTCTATCAATTGGCACAGGCCCTTGGTGCCAAAATGGAATTTTTCAAAAATAATAAAATTTCGATACATTTTTTGTGAAATCCTTCACGTATACTTCTTTTTTTCAACTACAATTTTCTAATTTTTAAAGATTATTCAACTGGTTATCTTGGCATTGCTCTTTTGTTTTAGAAATGTGTTCTTATTTTATTGCTAAATGGGAAGGATAAAAAGGATGCCACCATTTTTGGCAGTTCTGTTTTTCTATTTGGCACATTTTGGCACTTTTTTATCCTCAACATGGCACCTCGTAGCTAAGGAAAGTTGACAGTTAGAATCGCATTTAGGAAAAAAGTTTAACGATTTTGACATTAGCCGTATGTTTTTAATTTCTTTGTTGTTTACAATTTGGTGGTGGCTTTTTGTTGCAATTTTCTTCATTTTCGCCTGTGACAACGTCGAGATTTCGGCAGCTAGAAAATAACTTTTTTTTCTTTCCTTCCCGCGTGATCTTGATCATCATGGATTTCACAGCGCTAACGCCTTGAGTATTAAAACTAGTTAAACTAATTGGTTCATGCCATGATGCAATAATACAAGGTTTTATCAATTGCAACTTCTCGCTCTAATTCCACCATATTGACTGCCTTACGTGAAACAGTGTTACTTCTTTAACTATTCTTTGTCCATTAATATAGTTGAATGTTTTTTATTTTTGCTCTGTATACACACTTTGTTTTCTTAAAAAGGTATTTTATGTAATTTTATTTCATTTCATAACGAATATACTATAGAAAAGCAAATTTTGTTTAGGAGAAAATGTGAAATTTTATATTCTTCCCATATGGGGATTTATTTGTTCCCGTTTTTCTTCTCATTTCGATTACGTGTCAATACTATCACAATTGATACCACCTTTTATTATTGCATCATGGGTTCATGCAGCACAAATGAATTATATTCCAAAGTGTGGCATCCTTTTTTAATTCCGCCAAACAACTAGGAATGTATGATATTGAATCGATTTTTCGAAATATCGATATTTCATGGCACGATAATCGATTTTTTTAATCGATATTCCAAGTTCGATAATCGAAGACATCGATACTTTAACCGCAATATCGATATTTAAGTTAAAATTTATTTTTAATCTACAAAAAATTGTATGGGAAAATACTTAAGTAGGTTTAATTAGCAGCTTGCGTGATTTATTTAGCTCTAAAGTTTGACAAACCGCTTGAGTCGACCGGCATGCCGTTTTAGTCCCCACCCTGCAAGAAGCCTGACCTATGATTATCGGTTAAATTATTGGGAAAACTGACTAAAACTGTTCGTCAGTTTAGCGGTTAGTTTTGTATGGGCTTGGGGAAAAAAGTGACCACTTCTCTGGGCGTGTGATAGTGCATCCCTTTCTTGCACACACACGGGCGCATTTGCCTTACAGTATGTTCACTCGCTCACACATGTCATCTAGCTGGTGATGTACAAGTGAGTTTAGCGATGAAACTATTGGGAAAATATCGCGATAATTAGTGATTTTTCTGACCACTATTCTAACCTCTAAATAATTGATAAATTATTGAATAGTTGGCAGCGAAATATCCAAAAATACATGAAACCAAATTAAAAAATACAATTCGATTTAGGTTATGTGTTTGTTTTATTTGTAAAAATATATTGTCGAATATTAACTTAATTTCGCAAGCTTTTTCAGAGCCACTGAGCTCAGACAATTCTTCTTATTTTTCATCGGGGTCTGAATTTTCGTCGCTAAAAACATATGCCTCAGCGCCGTTTGGTTTTTCTACCTTCATTCCTAGGTTCTGCTGGAGTCCCACGTTGGCGTTGCACTGTGTTTTAGCACTATAGTCACTGACTCCATAGTCGGCATAAGCGCACTGGCCTAAAATGTTTTCTTCTCTATCCACATAGCGTTAAAAAAGGTTTTTTATGGCTCATTTTTTTATATGCAAATAGAATATACGGATTTTGATGAATTCTTTCTTTAAATTCACCGACATCTTCTTTATTTTTTACCACAGCTAACAATGAAATAAAATTTTCTTTGATGTATGTATGTATGTACATATGTAGGCGAGCCTACAATCGATAGTTTGTTTCCGTTTTTTGCAGGGCAGTAAATATACAAGATAGAAATATGTAACACAATTAGGTGAGTTGACAGGCAGTTCTAATATTCTATTCAGTTGGGAGTAGGATTTTCAATATCGATTTTTCGATATCGATATTGTATGCAATGAATTAAATCGAGTCATGATATCGATACTTTCTTAAATAGCGAACATTCCTACAAACAACCGGCAAATGTAAACAGACCGACATACATAAATATTTTTAAAGACTTCAAATGACCAACTTCCAGTAGGAAATCAACCTGAAATTATAATAAAAGGATTGCAACCGTTAAACAAATTGGTAAGTATGAAAATTATTCAATTCACATCATTCAAATGTGTTTACTTACATAAGTTATTAGGTTTCATAAAAAAAAACGTGTCAAAAATGCAGCATATCACGCCCAAGGATCAGCAATCGCACTTAGTAATTGTCGACACCAGTACATCTAATATCGAAGAGGGTAAGATAGCTTGTCGTGGTAGACCGAAAAAGCTTGGCAAGCCGAAAATTTCGCAGGCCATTGTTGCAACTGGCAAAGGACGTGGTCGCCCTAAAAAACCTGCTAACTCCGCTGACGAAATAGGAAATGACGAACTTCCGAAACGTGATACTGTGGAACGATCATCATTACCTCTTCGTCAATCAAAATCTGGTACTAGTGTTGAAGGACGTGGGCGCCCAAGAAAGCCGAGAGTCTGCAGTGATAGTGAAAATTGTAAGTGTTGCTACATATTTTACATTATACATACATATGTACATAATCAAGCCCATTCTGAACAGAAACCCTGTGCGTTTCTCTCTTTTCCCTTTCGTCATATCATGAATAACAATTGCATGTGGACTTTTTATTTTAAATGTCCGAGTTGAGCTGCTAAAAAAGTGTCGAACAGCTTTTTCGAAATTCGAACTTCCTCCCAAATTTTCGTAGAGTTAATTAAAGGAGTTGATTAAATTGGAGTTAATTGAATTTCTCTCTCGGGAGAAGCAAATTCTCGGAGAACAAACTCCTTGGGAGTATTCAGAATTGGGCTGAATGTGTACATATACATGCATATCAAGAATGATAGAATACAAGATTGCGCCAATGAGAGAGGATTTTTGAGCGTAATTTTTGCGTGACGTCATCTTGGTGCATTTGCGAGAGAGAAATGCCAAAACGCATATAAAAATATGTAAACAATGCAGAAAAATGTGTTAATTTTAATATTACATGGCCCAATTTTGCAGGAACCAATAAATATACAAAGATTGATTAATTAGGAACACGTAGCAATAATTTTGGACATGTAGCTCTTTTGATAAGTACGATTTTTAGCACATGAAAAAATGGATGTAATAACAGTGTTTGCAATTTCATGTAGACCAAAAGGAAGGTGTGCAGCAAAGTGAATTTTTGGACTTGCCATTTTAAAAAGCCAAGCAGAGTGCATATTTATATTTGTGGACGGTAGCCAACCACCATAAACTCCACAGCTGTTGACCCCACAGCTTTTATTTTATGACTTTTGTACCATTTTCAAGAGGATGCATGAGTGTGGCTTTTTTGGAAGCAAATATTCTATGTCAGTAAAACATAATTTAAGTTGAACTTTTAAATGTATAATAATTTGGGCACTGTATTGTATTAGGTACGTAACAGCGCGGTAAGATGCCGCTTGAATTAGCGCCTGGCGACCTTATCCACTGGTGCATTACCTCATGCCAGCACTAAAAAAACAGGTACTAACAAAAATAAGTAGGTAGTGAAGGTCATGTATGTCTCAATAATGGTTTAAAACCACGTAGAAATATTAACGCACCAATATTAAAATTGTTATTTGGTTTTTTCGTATGCTCACATTCAACAATTGCACCAAGATGACGTCACGCACACAGCTCATTCTGTCAAAATTACAAAGAGCGGATTAGCGTTACCGCGATTGGCGCAATCTCTATTTCTCTCAATCGTGCATGCATATGTATGTATGCTCACCAAAATATTATTGCAGCATCCTACGATGAAAAACCAGATTACGAAGAACGTCGTCCAGTAGGCAGACCGTCCACTGGCGCTGTAAATCTAAATATTGTGCGTACGGGTCGGGGACAGGGCCGGCCAAGAAAATCAATTCAGTCCAATCGTCCTAATGCTGTACCAAATGCAATCTAAAGGTCTGATTATCCATACTTCGCATAACTATGCACAATAAGTTGACTTGCAGAAAAACGATACAAAAGTAAATGCAAATTAAGGTTGCACATGGAAAGTTTATTTAAAACCGTTTACACATTTGCTGACAATCAATTTCTATTTTATAGATGTTTACTTACTACAAATACAGTACGATAAACCACTAATGCTTAAAAACATAAAAGTAATCATATTCAAATTAGGTAAATATCGATATTGGCAAACTAGAACATAGAAAAAAGCAAATGCAAAATGCAATTTGGTATGTTGGTGCCGTATGTGGAACTACAATGGCCAACATATTTAAATTTTGAAATGTGATGTTGATTTTTATAATGAAAGTTTAAGTTTTGTTCTATCCATTTGCAAGTGCATGAACTTGTAGATACTTGCATGCAAACTTTATCAAACTTATTACTATTATTTATTGTGGTTCTATAAATGCATATGAAGATGTGTTTTTTTTTTATGTATGTATAATATACGTTAATGACGCTTAATATAACTACAGAAACATATTTTCTGTTTGCCGCAATTTAAATCCACGATTAATATGTCGGCCTTAAGCAGCGGATTCCTCGCCATCTGCCAAATCATCTTCGTCCTCGTTGCTATTTGCACCGGCCTCATCGTCAGTGTCTTTATTTTTGGATTTCTTTTGATCTTCATCAGATGTCTCAATTTCATCGTCATTATCCTTGGAATCCTCATCGTCGGAATCTGCAGCTTTAGCAGGCTTGCGACCGGGTTTTCCAGGTGTAGCTTTCTTCGAACTAGCGGGTCGACCACGCTTTTTCGGCACTCCACCATTGGCAGCAGTAGCTGCAGGTCGTTTTGGGGCAACTGCTACAGCCTTTTTACCCCGTCCGCGTCCGGCAACAGGCTTTTCTTCAGCCGATTCTAAATTTAAAAAAAAAAAAACATTTTTAAACTCTCCCGCTTTATTTTATATACAATCCTAAATATGAATATATATGTGTGTGTATGTGTATGTATCACACTTACCTTCGTCTTCATCATCGCTTTTTGCCTTTTTTGCTGGCTTAGCAACTTTTTTCGGTGATTTTGACTTGCGTCCCGGCTTCTTGCCACTTGGTTTGTAGTCACTTTGCTCATCGTCCTCTTCACCATCTCCGCCCGCTTCTTCTTCGTCTTCTTCTGACGCTTGTGGTTGTTTCTTTGGCCGACCACGACCTTTTCCGGGTGTTGCTACAGCTTTCGGAGGTCGCCCACGACCGCCACCACCACTACCATTTGCGGCTACCGGCGCATCATCGTCAGAAACCGGTTCAGGGGCACTCTTTTTGCCGGCAACGCTACCTGCAGAGTTCTTAGCAGGCCTACCACGGCCACGGCCGCTTGGCGGTTTCTTTACCTTCTCTGGGTTGGATGGACGACCGCGCTTCTTCGGAATAGTAGTGCTGCTGTCTCCAGTTGCAGAAAGTGCACCTTCATCCCCACTTTCAACATCTTCATCATGAACACGCTTCTTTACATCTTCCATTTTTTCGATATATGTAATTTGCACTTTCTGCCTTTTGTTCGCCG